TAGCCAGGCATTTATGGGAAACCAGTCTCTTTTGGTCCTTGAGTTCTGTTTTCCTGACTCTGCATGGGGTTTCCTATTTCACACTTCTGGTTCCATTTTAGATGGAAATTCCATCACACTGCCTGTGCCCTGGGGAGGTGGGGACCATGTCCCTTCCCCGGGAGGACCTGAGGTAGGGGCAGGGTTGGGGGAGGAAATAGAAGGGGAGGAAACGAGAAAGGAAGGCGCAGCTTCCTCCCCAGAAATGTAAGAATCCCTCTTCTGAGGGCAGGGGCCACATCCCAGTGCTGGAGGGGCGGGGGGTGACGGGGGTTGGGAGTCTGAGCGCGGGGGAGGCACCCAGCTGCGGGCCCACCTTCATCTCCTTGTGTGTGAGGCTGCAGGGGCTGGACACCTCTCTGGTGCCTCCTCTTGGAGCAGACAGGGGTGTGGGCGGTGCCTCTGGGGGGCACATGGACTGCAGGTCAGGGACCTCAGGGAGGGGTCTGAGGAGGGTGACTGACCGCTACACTCTGAGCCCCAGAGGACGCTCCAAGCTGCCAGAAGAGAACACACTGCTAATTGGACATCATTAAAATGAAGACCATCTGCTTGTCAAAAGGCACTGTTACGGAAGTGAAAAGACAAGCCACAGACTGGAAGAAATATTTGCAAAACCTTTACTGTATCTGCAAAAGGACTGGTATCCAAAATACACAGAGAAAACATAATATGACATTAAGAAAACAAACAACCTGATTTGAAAATGGGCAAAGCACCTGAACAGACACCTCACCAAAGAAGACATGCACTTGGCAAATAAACACACGGAAAGGTGCTCAACATCACGGTCACTGGGGAGTCGCAGGTTAAGACAACAGCGACATCACTGCACACCCACTGGCATGGGTACAACCCCAAACGCTGGCCACGCCAGGTGCCGATGAAGCCGTGGAGCCACAGGAGCGCTCATCCGCCTGGTGAGCGTGAGAAGGGGCACAGCCACTTTGGACGGCAGCCTGGCCTTTGTTTTGCAACTAAACATGCTTATACCAGATGGTTGAGTAATTGTGCTTTTTGGTATTTACCCAAATAAGTTGAAAATCCACGTCCACACGGAAAGCAGTACGTGAATGTTTATAGCGGCTTTATTCATAATTGCCCCAAATTGGCATCAACCAAGATGTCCATCAGTAGGTGAATGAATAAACAAATCAGGGTACATCCATACAATGGAATATTATTCAACAACGGAAAGAAATGAGCTATGAAACCACGAGAAGACATGGAAGCGCCTTAAGTGCATATTGCTAAGTGAAAGAAGGCAATCGGAAAAGGCTACATACTGCATGGTTTCAACTGTACGATATTCTGGAAAATGTGTTACAACAGAGACAGTAAAAAGATGATTCGCTTCCAGTCTAATTAATAAAATAATGGTTTCAATTTTTTTACTGTATTAGCCTACTCAGTATATCCATTTCTTTCATAATATTAGCAAATTGTATTTTTGAGAAATTTCTTCATTTTACCCAAAGTGCCAAATTTATTGGTGAATGTGTAATATCCTTTTATTATCTTTTTTAGTGTTTATAGGACCTTTTTTCATTCATAATATTGATATTTCTCTCTCTCAGCCTTGCTGGGGTTTATCAATTAGTATGTTGTTTTCTAATTTATAGATTTCTGTAATCACACTTATTTCCTTCCTTCTACTTTCTTTAGGATTGATCTGCTGTTCTTTCTCTGGCTTTTTGAGATGTAAATGTAAATAATTGATTTTTAGCTATTGCTCCGGTCTAAGATATGCTTTTTATGGAAATAAATTTTCTCAGAAGCATGGTTTTAGCATCCTAAGAGTTTCAATATCATATATTCATTATTAACCAGTTTAATATATTTTCTAGCTTCCATTTTTATTTTATTTATTTTTTTGACCTGTGAATTATTTAGGGATGTTGTGCTTAATTCCCAAGCAGTTGGGATTTTCTGCTTGTATATATATATTTTCATCCTCACCCGAGGATATATTTTTCCATTGACTTTTAGAGAGAATGGAAGGGAGAGGGAGAGACAGAAAGAAACATTGATATGAGAGAGACACATCAATTGTTTGCCTCCCGCATGCCCCTGACTAGGGCCCATGCCTCTGACCAAGGCCAGGAGCCTGCAACCAAGGTACGTGGCCTTGACCGGAATCGAACCCAGGACCCTTCAGTCCACAGGCCGATGCTCTATCCACTGAGCCAAACCAGCCAGGGCTAATATTTTTATTGATAGTCTAATTTCAGTGTAGTCAGAGAACATACTTTGTTTGATTTCAATCATTTGAAATTTGATATTCTATTTGTATTTAAAAGTAATGTGAATTCTGTCGTTGGGCACCGTGTTCTATTTCAAAAAGATCACATTTATTTTATTTATTTACTAGGGGCCCAGTGCATGAATTCATGCACCTTGAAAGGAACTGTGGGTTGAGAGGCTGCGGTAGGCACAGGGGTGGGTCTCGGCCCATCCTCCATGCCCCCATCCAGCCCCTCCTGTCGCGGCCCCCTGTCCCTTGTCTGCTGGCAGCCCTGCTCTTGCTGCCACCACTCCCGCTGGCCCCACTTGCACCCCCTGATGGCACGGAGCAGTTGGGCCTGGTGCCAGCGCCAGCAGCGGGTGCAAGCAGGGCCAGTGCTGTCAGTGGGTGAGAGTGGCGATTGTTGCCCCAATCACCCCTCAAGAGCAGGGGGTGGTGGAGAAGCCCTCAGGGGTGATCTGGGCTGGCAGCTGCCACTCGCATCTGCTGATGGCGCCGAGTGATTGGGACCAGCACCAGCAGTGGGTGCGAACAGTGGCTCCAGCGCCAGATATGGGTGCCAGTGGGGTTGGCGCCATCTGCAGGTACGAGTGTCAGGCGGGACTGCGGTGCATGGAAGCAAAGAATTTTCAGTAACCACCAGAGGCTCGCCCCAATGACAGCAACCGGCGCCCTGCCTTGGGCTGGCGACCCTGCTCACCTGCTCCACCATCCCACCACGGCCAATGCCCACCATGTTCCACACACGCCCCCTGGTGGTCAGCACACATCATAGCGACCAGTTGTTTGGTTGTTTGGTTGTTCTGCTGTTCGGTCTATTTGCATATTAGCCTTTTATTATACAGGATAGGATTATTCATATTTTTAAAATATATTTTTATTGATTTCAGAGAGGAAGGGAGAGGGAGAGATAGAAACATCAATGATGAAAGAGACTCCTTGATTAGCTGCCTCCTGCATGCCCCTTACAGGGGATGGAACCTGCAACCCGGGTATGTGCTCCAACTGGGAATTGAACCATGACTTCCTGGTTCATAGGTCCGTGCTCAACCACTGAGCCACACCAGACGGGCAAGATCACATTTACTAATTGTTTTGTCCAGATCCTCTATATCACTACTGATTTTTTGTCTATTTGTTCTATCAGCTATTGAAAGAAGTGTGTTAAAGTATTTCACTATGGCTGTAGAGATGTAGAAAGAGTTTCTGCTTTATAGTTTAAATGCATGCCATGGGATGCATACAGACTCATGGTTGTGATATCGTTTTGTTGGATTGACTCTTTGATCTTTTTAAATGTCCCTCTTTATCTTCTGTTTCTTGCCTTAAAAATGCCTGATATTTGGCTCAGGTGTGCGTGGTGTTATCCTTTTAGTTTTTCTGTGTTCTTAGATTTAAAGTATGTCTCTCCTGAACAGTGCATAATTTTTAAAAAATCATTCGACAATACTAGGTATAGAATTCTAGGTTGATGGGGTTTTGCAGCCCTTTGAGGGTGTCATTTCGTTGTCTTCTGGCTTCTACTGTTACTGTTGAGAAGAGAGATCTCAGTTTTATTGTTGATCCTTTGATGATAACATGTATTGGGCTGTCTTTTAAGTTTTCTTCATTACCTCCCCCCCTTCCCACAGGAGTTTGACAATGAGGTACTTGTGTGTTTTAAAATATAAACTCCAGACTTTATTGGAATTCCACCCATTTTTTCCATTAATATTCTCTTTCTGTTTCATGAGCCAATCCGGGTACCACATTGCATTTGGTTTTCAGGTTTCCTGAGTCTTCTTTGGTCCTTCCTTGTTTTTTTATGACACCGACTGTCCGAGGAAACGGTCAGATTATCCTGTAGAATGTCCCACATGGGTTACCCGATATCTTCTCCATTAGACTAGGGTTATGGAATTTTGGAAAGCAATCGGAAATGAAGTACTCTTCTCATGTAATTTTGTTTTTATTCTGCAGGAGACTTGCTGAGTTTATTGAACTGGTGGATGAGATTTGCTGAGTTAAGAGCTGTTGTGCCTCTACACTGTTGGCCAGTTGGATGTTAGGAGCAGATGCTGCGCCAGTACCGGGCCCAGGCCCAGGCCCAAGGAGGCAGCACCTGTCGCTGCTTTCCTGTCCAGGGCTAACATGCTGGCCCGAGGTGCCTGAGGGACCACCCAGCAGACCGGAGCCCAACCTGCAGCTCGAACCCAGCCACTCTGAGCCCGACCTAGACCCAGGGCCCCCTCGATGCCTAGCGATGCCTGAGCGAGACTAACTAAGCACAGTCAGCGCACAGAGCATCGGTGTGCTCTCCTGTTCGCAACGGGGGCCGGTGCAGACCCGGAGCATCTCACGCCTCCTTCTTCCTCCATCTCCAGCAGCCGTGCTTGGAGCAGTTGTGTTTGGTGCTACGTACTCCTCCCAGGTCACCGGTGTGCTCCACCACCCCTTGACCTCCTCTTCTCTTCCTCCCTGTGCCCCAAGACTGACAACTGCCCCAGACCCGGAGGGCCCACATTGAGCTGACTTTCCTTCCTCCCAGCAGCATGATAAGGCTTAAATGGAACCGTGTCGGGGACAACTTAAGCACAAATACATTTTCTACAGAGAAGAAAATTCCCCAAATCAACAAAACAAACCCCAAGAATCTTATTTCTGCTGTAGGTGGAATAATGTATGTGAACCGCCCAACTAGCAGTTAACTGTCACACAACAAAATAACTCTCGGTCATTAAATACAAGATGGATGTTTTATTTAACAATAATATTAAATTCAATTCATTGCTACGCTTGCTCATACAGTAGGACATCTTGTACACACAATAAAAAATAATATTGACAGTATAGAGCCGACCACTCTCTGGAGCCTGGCTGGGCGGGAGGAGTGGCGACTCCGGGTAGGAGCTGGCCCTGTCCACGTCTCTCCAGTTGTGAATCCTCTGGGCTCCTATAGGCCCAGAACCTTTGGATCAGGATGAAGCAGGAGAGGAAGGAGGGGGTCTGTGCGGGATACAATTGCCTGCTGCATGGTTCCCTTCCCCACCTCCGCCAGTTCAAATCCTGGCCCCGGCCCTGCCCTCCGCCCTGTCGCCCTAGCCTTTATTTGTTTGTTTATTTAGTATTCCTCACCTGAGGATCTTTTTTCACTGATTTTTAGAGAGAGTGGAAGATGGGGAGAGAGAGGGGGACAGAGATGGGGGCTGGTCTGAAAGTCAGGAATGAAAAGTCTCATCCACATTTCTGGACTGAACTCCGGACACAAAGGGTTTCCCGGGCCTTTGACAAAGGAAGGAGAGGGCCCGCCGGGCCGCAGGTTGGGAGAGGAGGCCTAACCCAGACCTCAGAGCACCAGGGCCTCCGGTCTTTCTTCTAGAAAGGATATGGAGCACGTTGGTGGCCGGGGCCCTCAAAGGTCAGCTCTCCTTCTACCTCGGGAATCTGAGGGGCTGTGTGGCCAGGCCCCTCTCTCCCTAAAGCCTGTTTCTGTCCCAAGCAGAGCCCCGGGGCCCCAGAAACCACCGACGCGCTGCCCTGCCCAGTGCGGGGCCCACAGCAGGACCCGGACCCCGCGCAGGCCCGTGTAGTTCTCCACCAGGAGTGAGACCCTCACCGCCGCCCGTCTGCAGAGGCTCGGAAGAGGCCGCTTCTGGGCTTTCTGTCCTGGGTGGGTGGGCGGGCAGGGTGCGGGGCGGTGGGTGCAGGGCCTCCCTAGGGCAGCGCCCCGCTGAAAGTCATGATGGGCAGGCAGAGGAGGGAGCAGAGATCGGGCGTGGCCTGGGCTGGTGAGTGGGGCGACCTCTGGGGCTGGGGGCTGCTCTTCTCGGGCTTGTAGCAAGGTGAGACCTCACACCTGTGGGGGCGGGAGTCAGGACAGGCTCACATCCCCCCAGCCACTTCCAGGCCTCCGGGTGGGGACAGCACAGACACTGACCCTTCCCTCCACCCCACGCAGCTGGGCAGAGCCGCGCCCCTTCCTACCTGACCACACTCTGCAGGATCTTCCTCTCATCCTGGTCCAGGCACACCGCAAAGGGGCAGATTTTGGAGCCGATAATCTGTACCTTGTCCACTTCGATCTGCGAGGTGCTGATCTGGAAGGAAGGCCCAGGTCAGCCCTGTGGGATTGCCCGCTACCCTGGGGTGGGGTGGGCGTTGGTCTGTCAGCTCTCCAAGGCTAATGGCCAGCAGGGGAGG